AATGACGAGGTCGGCCTCACTTGTGTCACTAGCCCTGACCCCAATGGAGTTGGAACAGAGGGAGTCTAGGGACCAGGGGGACAAGAGCGCCAGTAGTTGTTGTTTGCAGCTCTTGCAGATGATGACCTTGGAGGACTGATGATCTTCTGATTCAGGCACAGTAGTAACAAGCAGAGCAGGTCTTGTAGATTGCCAGGCGTGCACCAGAGCAAGGCAGGTGGTGAGGGCAAGAGACAGGAGCAGTGTCATAGGAATAGCCAGGATCATCAACAGTCGGGCAGCGTGGTACAGAATCAGAAGGAAAGCCAAGGTCAGGAGCAGAGCTGAAGTCAGGAACCAGTATCAATTAGGAGAGCAACCGACCATTCTTCTCTGGACGTTCCTATGCGCATGCGCACTTTTATTCTCAATTCGTCTTGCCGGAAATCCCTTACACTGGGGTCATGACTGCAGCTGCAGCAGTCATACAGCTGCTACTCTGGTAGAACCACTTACACCAGAGAACATACGGGTACATACATCCGAGGCAAGTGGTTCAAAAAGCTCACCTGTGTACAATTCTTTAATTTATATTCTTTTTATTTGCTTCATCTGGCCATGCCCCTACTGCCATTTTGCTTCCAGATACTGGATCTTGCACATGCACTAAGATGGAACTAGGAACTAGGAAGAGGCAGCCTGCTCCCCATTGAAATTTGCAGCATGAAGTAGGACACATATATAGTGATCTAATCCTCTTAGGGATCTTAAAGTGACAGGAAAAACGTGAAAAACACGTGGTCCTAATTGGACCCAATTTAGTGAATACACACACAAAGTAACAGACAGATAACCCAAAACCCTAATTGGGATCAGTGGCTAAAAATCCGCCTAAAACAATCAAACCAAACAAGTGACACATGAAAGTGAATCCCTGCAAAGGGGGATATAACTCCTATATAAAGTGACTCATGCTTAGTGAGAACTTCACAAAAAACTCCAAATACTAAAACAAATATATGAAAACCACTCAACAATCTCCCCCAATTGGTAACACATAAAAATATACCAAAAATGACTAAAAATAATTGTATAGTGAAATATACTTATAAAAGTAAAAAACAGTAAAATTAAAATAAATAATTACAAAAGTCCAAAAAAATGTGTACAAATGCCAAGTGTTCCACTAATTCTTCCAAAACATGCAAGTGTTGTAGAGGATGTGCATTATAGCCGCAGGTGATAAAATCCAAAACTGGCTGAATTGCCTCCTCATCTCCTTACTGTGACCCAATGGGCCAAAACGCTTGTGGGATCACAAATGGATCCTCCACGGACAAATTCCGCTCTATGGTATCCTTCCAAAAAGTAAAGTCCACTTCAGTAGTGTGCATTTAGCATCTCAGGTCCCCTTCTGGTTCCCTTCAGATGTAATACAGCCAACTCACACATGGATCATAATAATGACATAAAAGAGAGATCCTCCATAGTGTAATACCATTTAATTGAAGCAGAAAGACACAGCACCGCCAATTGCCAACTAATTGGTATCAACAGAAAACAAGCATTTAAACCACATGCTATGGGTGTAGTTTGCATGGGTTTTAGGAGTAGCAAGATGGCGTCCACACCAGAAGTGCGTCACCACGTACCTACGCATTGCGTACCAATTATCACATGACCTCCTCAAGGTAACGCCATTGGTGACAAGAAATCCCTTTTATGGGGAAGCTGGGTGCCAATCATAACTCAGGGACGGCCATTTTATTGGAGTCCACTACCCACAATAGACCTATTAAGCTGCTTCACCCTCTCTGCATTCCTCCGGCCATAATATAACTCGAAATTAAGCTAAATTACCGACCGCTACTGATTACTAACTCCTGATATGCATGATATTATCCTCCTTAACTCTTACATGGAAAAAACTAAATGGCATTACCATACAGCTGACGATAGCCATTATGGTGTAGTACAGTAACTCGGAATGACAACATTCCGCGGACTACAAATCTCCATAAAAAAAAATTATAAAAATAGTATACTTTTATTGAAACTTGCTAAAAAACTTGATTAATATTATTTATTATTAAGAATATTAAACATAATCCCATATATACTACACCTAAAAAATATAAAGGAATACCTCACCCAAAGACCTAATATACTAATAATGATAGATAATCAAATCTATCAATAATTACTAAAAAAAGGGGGAAAAGGATGATAAAAGATTATTAATCTAATGCCACTACCCATCAATTATTAAATATTATTAAATAGAAACCTGCCTCCATAAAAAATGGTTCAAACATTACCAATATAACCATAAATAAATGATACAATAAATATATCATCCATAAGAAATCCAAAAACTAAACACTAAACTAAAAAAACCTAAAAAAATGAATATTTATATATTGCAATAATAATAAATATGGTCATTTTTAATATAAAAATAATTTTAAAATAATGTTATGCAATGTATTAATGAATGTTTATAGATCAATTATTTATAATAAATTTCTTATATTCATTAATTTTTTATCCCTCTTTAGAAAAAATAAATATTAAAAAATCAAAAAAATGCCCCAATCCATGCAAAAGTCACCCATACCACTGGTGTAAAACATCATATTACAGATGAATAAATACATATAAAATAATACACATACATATACAGATATATAAAAATAAAAAAGATAGTTTTCTGAATATAACAGTCAAATTTAATATTCTTGGTGTTATTATGAAGTTTATTGAGGAACCCCCGTCTTCCTTCCCTTCCCACACTATGATGACATCGTCTATGTATCTTTTATATAATCTTAATCCTTCTGGGGGATATTCATACACTGCCTCTTTTTCCCAATGGGCCATAAAGAGATTTGCACCATTTGGCGCAAACCTCGCTCCCATTGTGACGCCTTTGACCTGGCGAAAAAATGATTTATTGTGCCAGAAATAATTATGTTTTGATGTACTGATCGCCTGTCTCATTTCTTGAGGCCCTAAAATGCCAGGACAGTATGAATTCCCCCTAAATAACATTGTTTTGGAAAGTAGACAGCCTGAGGTATTTAGTAATTAGGCATGGCGAGTTTTTTTAAGTTGTTATTTTTTTGTTACAATTTTTTGGAAAATGAAGAAATTGCATAAAATATGTTTTTTTTTTTTTCACAATTATATTTTTAACATGCTGACACAGCATAGTACTACATCATAATATGATTGGTGTGGCGATGATCAAGTATACTGACTGGTGACAGTATGTTAAAAAAAAAATAATAATAATTTTTTATTCAATTTTTTAAAACATTTTTTTCCCTTTTTCATGCTTTACTTTTTTTCTTACATACTTCACACCACTATGCATGCCACTATGGATGTGGTCCAAAATATGGCCCTTAAGAGGGGATATATGAACTATTGTTCCATACCTTTGCAAGGCTTATTAGTTTACACCTGCTGGTGGATGCCCCACTTTTTAGTTGTGGATAAACTAATATTTTTGACTAGGAAGCCAATGTTTGGCGAAACATGTTGAGTTGAATTTGCTGCATATTTGTCTCTGAACTGCAAGGATTCGCTTGTTGGTTTTCAACTGACCAACCACAGAACAGTCATTGTTTTAAAAAATAAATGTATCTTTGCACTAATAAACATTTGAATATTTTATATATTGTTTATGGTCTTTTTGGCACCTTTAAAGTCCCCACACTTCAAACTTACTTGTTGTTATGGTAAACATAACTCTCCAGCTCCACCCTTAATATTACATAGCAGAGAAAATTTAGTTAGGATATTTAAGCAAGCAAAAAGCTGTGGAGCGATTTTTTATTTACACTGTATGGATGGGAACAAGTAACAGGTAAAAAGTAGGCATTATCCCAATTTGGCTGCAAAAAGTGTATATATACTTTAAACATTCAAACTTCCAAACATTTCTATATTCTTAACAACCAGTTAAATGTTTTTAAAATAGGCATTCGCTGACCTCAGTAGTTACAGCCAACATGGCACATGTTCCTCAAGGGAGTGCTCATTATTATTTTTGACACCTTCTTTCCTGTTAGAACAGAAAATAGACATTTTAATTTGACAGATTCAACCTCCACTGAATTCAAAGGGGTTTGGTATCCAAACATTTTTAAAGTTCGCTGAGCCCTGCTCGAACCAAACCTAAGGTAGTGTGTCTCATTCCTAGTCATCACCAGGCTTGTACAATTATTGCACAAGATAGCTGCCACATGGCCAGATCTAAGGGGGTGCTGGGGTGGGCTACACCTTCACAGATTTCAGTTGTACCCCTCCAAAGCTACCCCTGTGATCCCTGTCCTCCGCCCTGCTTACCCTTGTCCTCAGCTCTGCTGACCCCTGTGCTCCACCCTGTTGACTCCTGTCCTCCACCCTACAGATCCCTGTACACTGCCCTGATGACTCCTGTCCTCCACCCTGTAGATCCCTGTACACTGCCCTGATGATCTCTGTCCTCTGCCCCGTGAACCCCTTACACTGCCCTTTTGACTCTTGTCCTTTGCTCTGCTGACCCCTGTCCTCCACCCAGCTGACCCCTGTCTTCAGCCCTGCTGACCTCTGTCCTCTGCCCTACCAATTCCTGTACACACTCCTGCTGACCTCCTTTGCCCTGCTGACCCCCATGCACTGCACTGCCGTCACCCTGTACACTGCTCTGCTGTCTTCCATGGGAGCTACTGTAGTTCAACTCAGCATATTGATAGAAAATAAAGCTGGATATGTTTCTAAATGCACAAAATATAAATGGTTTCTAATGATTTACGTAAAGAAAATGTTCACAAATGCGCATTTTGATTAGATTAGCATATTATTAATTAATGAATTGTCAGTTTTGTGTTCAAGTGCTGACTAGGGCTACTAACGCACTTCTTTGTTCTAAGTACAGGAGAAAAATACATTTAAATAGACAATAAAAAATGCCAGAAAACAAACACAAACAGTTAACTCTACCTTACACATATGATCACTGGCTGAAGGGCACTCTTACAGTGGTGGTCAGTGGAAAGAATATTCCTTACATTGGTGGTCAGTTGGAAGAATGCTCCTTACATTGGGGTCAGTTGGAAGAATGCTCCTTACATTGGGGGTCAGTTGGAAGAATGCTCCTTACATTAGTGGTCAGTTGGAAAGAATGCTCCTTCCATTGGTGGTCAGTGGGAAGAATGCTCCTTACATTGGGGGTCAGTGGGAAGAATGCTCCTTACATTGATGGTCATTGGGAAGAATGATCCTTACATTGGTAGTCTATGGGAATAATTATCCTTACATTGGTGGTCTATGAGAAGAATTCTCCTTGCATTGGTGGTCTGTGGGAAGAATGCTCCTTACATTGGGGGTCTATGGGAAGAATTCTTCTTACATTGGTGGTCAGTTGGAAGAATGCTCCTTATATTGGGGGTCGAAGAATGCTCCTTACATTGATGGTGTCAGGGATGAGGGTGTGACCAGAAGTGTGTGGACTGACACAGGGAAACGCAAGCTTCAGATATGGTATAAATAAGACAATTTATTAAGACTAACAATACAAACATAAACGCAGTGCACCAAACCCCAAGCTAACATAATGTCAAGGTCCTACCTTTTCCCTGAGGTTATGTTACTCCATGTGCTGGCGTCCATCTTGGATTCTGCTGTGCATGATGGGAATCCTTTTATGCCTTCAGGTCTCTGTGGTCCATCCCCCAGAGGGGTGTGGCTGATGACATATAAGCCTGTGGCCCGCACATGCTCTTTGCACTTGTGTCTTGTGTCTTTGTGTTGCTATTACTCTGTTCTGACTCTCGTGACTCTCCTGGTATCTGATTCGGCTTGTGACTTGACTATTCTTTGTATTCTCCCTTGATCTGACCCTCTGTTGCTGAACCCGGCTCGTGACCTGTGATTCTCCTCTGCTGTCCTGTACTGTTTTGTCCTGTTGTTGTTGACCCGGCTTGTCTGACTACTCTTTTGTCTCTTCCACCAGCTACACGCCATTGGCGGCGGCCATTACCGCAGCTGAGGTGTCTCGGGGGCCGCGACCTGGTTCCTGGCTGCGTCAAGTCCATCCCCACCATCAGGGGCCCTGGTGAAGGGCAGCCTGGGACTTAGACTCCGCGCCCTGGGGGACTTCGGTCTGTGGGTAGTGGTTGTCGTCAGCCAGTGCGTTACATTGTTAGGCCTGCCTGTCCGTTCCTCGGCTCCTGCCCTGACACATAAATACATACAACAAGGTGAAACAAGCCCAAACCTAAACTGATAAAGATACACAGGTACATACACATATAGAGCACAACGTAGTCAGGCAGGCCGGGTCGATAACTATCGGGCAGGTAGGTACAGGAGGAGCAGGCGGAGAGAATGGTCAGGGTCACAAGCCAGGGATCAAACAGCAGAGGTCAGGATCAGGCAGGGTCGGCAACAAGTCAGGCAGGAACAGGAACAGGAATGCAGGTTACAAGGTACAGGGGCCCATGGAAAAACACACACCAAGGCACAGACTGTAGGTCTGGCCATCCCTTAAATACACCACCTGCAATCAGCCCCAGGTGATGGCTAATTGCCGAAGTGAACCTCTGGCTGTTGAGAGCAACCGCTGGCCAGCCCTGGTACTGTAGCCCACAAGGCAGGTGAGTCCCACCACTATTGGCAAGTCCATTCCTGACAGATGGTCTGTGGGAAGAATGCTCCTTACATTGGTGGTCAGTTGGAAGAATGCTCCTTACATTGGTGGTGTCAGGGCAGGGCTGTGGAACGGACAGGTAGGCCTAGTGGCAGGGTAAGGCACTGGCTGACAACAACCACCACCAACAGACCGAAGTCCCTCAGGGCGCGGAGTCTAAGTCCCAGGCTGCCCTTCACCAGGGCCCCTGATGGTGGGGATGGACTTGACGCAGCCAGGAACCAGGTCGCGGCCCCCGAGACACCCCGGCTGCGGTAATGGCCGCCGCCAATGGCGTGTAGCTGGTGAGAATGACAATAGCGTAGTCAGGCAAGCCGAGTCGACAACAACAGGACAAAACAGTACAGAACAGTAGACAGAGAATCACAGGTCACGGGCCGGGTTCAGCAACGGAAGGTCAGATCGAAGGAAAACACAGAGAATGGTCTTAGTCACAAGCCGAGTCAGAATACCAGAAGAGTCACGAGCATATACACAGAGCTGTAGCAAGACAAAGACACAAGACACAAGTGCAAAGAGCATGTGCGGATCACAGGCTTATATGTACTCAGCCACACCCCTCTGGGGGATGGACCTCAGAGACCTGAAGGCATAAAAGCTTCCCACCATGCTCAGCAGAAATCCAAGATGGATGCCAGCACATGGAGTAACATAACCTCTGGGAAAAGGTAGGACCTTGACAGGTGGTCAGTTGGAAGAATGATCCTTACATTGGTGGGCAGTGGGAAGAATGCTCCTTACATTGGTGGTCAGTTGGAAGAATGCTCCTTACATTGGTGGTCTATAGGAAGAATTCTCCTTATATTGATGGTCTGTGGGAACAATGCACCTTACATTGGTGGTCAGTTGGAAGAACTTTCCTTACATTAGTGGTTTTTGAGGAAAATGCTCCTTACATTGGTGGTCAGTAGGTACAATGCTCTGTAAAGAACAAGTTCACCTTTTCAGGCAGAATTGCACTTTTCATAATAAATAGAAACGTTTTCCAATGCCATTTTCAGCCCAGCCATCCCAATGTGCTTTTCTCTTATATACCTTATTCACGGGCGGTTTAAAATCTTGTCAGTTTATTTGAATTTTTTAAATGGTTTCCAGATTTCATCACGTCCTGCAGATCTTCTCTCATTATTCACTTCCTGTAGGTCATCTCCCAGAAGCCTTCACTTCCTTGTTGCATTACAGAAGAGGGTGTGATGGGGTGTGTTCACCACTCTGGACCACACCTCCCTCATTACAATGCTACTTTCCCCCCACTTTCTATACAATACGATTGTACAATCTCCTTGAGATCAATTTAGTGGTGTGAACAAAGACAAAGGCAGAAGTGAGAATAACACAGCTCCATGAATCCAGATCTTATAGCTCTGCATCTACTAGACGCCCCTCAAGATCTTCCAAATCCCTCCAATCAAGGTCTTCTAAACTCAGTCAACAACTAATAAAAGCCTGTGCTGATGCTAAAGCTTCTAAAATTCAGGCAGTTTTTCACCCAAAAGAAAGCAGAAATAGAGGCTCAGGCCACATATAAGAAAGCAGAAATAGAGGCTAAGACCACAGAAATGGAGGCTCAGGCTGCATATAAGAAAGCAGAAATGGAGGCTCAGGCTGCATATAAGAAAGTAGAAATGGAGGCTTAGTGAAAAGGATTAATGTTCTACCTGAGCCTGTTACAGTTCTTGAAAAGACTGATCAAAACAAGAAAATTGAGGACCCAAATCGGCAATGTCCAATACATAACAAACCACATCCACTTAAGAAATGTATCGGCTTCAGAAAGAAAACCCTCCAAGAATGTAAGGAACTTTTGAAGAAATTTGGGGTTTTCTACAAATGCTGTGCCTCCACAGAACATTTTGCGAGGGACTGTAAAGTGATCATCAGATGTATAGAGTGTGACAGTGATGACCATGTGCAAGCTCTTCATCAATGTTCGCACAACTCTACTACACTCACAAACAATCTTCCTGAGGCAAAGCAAGGCGGGGAGCACCCAGATCAAGCAGCACCTACCACCCAGTATTCTCTACATGTACAGAGGTCTGTGGAGAAGGATTCTGTGACAAATCCTGTTTAAAGATATGCTTGGTACGTGTATACCCCAAAGGCCAACCTGAAAAGGCAATAAGACTGTATACTATTCTGCATGGTCAGAGTAACAGATCTCTTGCAAGAACACAGTTTTTTTGAACTGTTGAACATAACTGGAGATGCTCTGCCTTATACTCTAAGCACTTGTTCTGGCACTACAGAAGTCTTAGGTAGGAGAGCCAGTGGTCCTGTAGTTACTCCTCTGAATGACAATGTGGAAATATCTTTGCCCACTATCACTGAGTGTAACCAGATTCCAAACACCAAAGAGGAGATCCCTACTCCTGAAACTGCTTTTCACCATTCTCACTTAAAGCACATAGCCAATCAAATACCAGCCCTCAACGAAAGTGCTGATATCCTGCTGTTACTTGGTTGATACATCCTAAGGGTGCACAAAGTTCGTCATCAAATCAACGGTCCACACAATGCACCATATGCTCAGCGTCTGGATCTAGGATGGATCATAGTCTAGGCCAGTGATGGCGAACCTTTTTGAGCCCGAGTGCCCAAACTGCAACCCAAAACCAACTTATTTCTTTCAAAGTGCCAACACTGCAATGAAACCTGAATATCGAGCTTTTGGTTTAGAAAAAACAACTCGTACAGTAGTGCAAACTAATTAACAGTACAGGGATGACCAGAGACTGCGGACAGTACAGGGATGACCAGAGACTGCGGACAGTACAGGGATGACCAGAGACTGCGGACACAGTACAAGGATGACCAGAGACTGCAGACACAGTACAGGGATGACCAGAGACTGCAGACACAGTACAGGGATGACCAGAGACTGCAGACACAGTACAGGGATGACCAGAGACTGCGGACAGTACAGGGATGACCAGAGACTGCGGACAGTACAGGGATGACCAGAGACTGCGGACACAGTACAAGGATGACCAGAGACTGCAGACACAGTACAGGGATGACCAGAGACTGCAGACACAGTACAGGGATGACCAGAGACTGCAGGACACAGTACAGGGATGACCAGAGACTGCAGACACAGTACAGGGATGACCAGAGACTGCGGACAGTACAGGGATGACCAGAGAGAGACTGCGGACAGTACAGGGATGACCAGAGACTGCGGACAGTACAGGAGATGACCAGAGACTGCGGACACAGTACAGGGATGACCAGAGACTGCAGACACAGTACAGGGATGATCAGAGACTGCGGACACAGTACAGGGATGACCAGAGACTGCGGACACAGTACAGGGATGACCAGAGACTGCGGACACAGTACAGGGATGACCAGAGACTGCGGACACAGTACAGGAGATGACCAGAGACTGCGGACACGGTACAGGGATGACCAGAGACTGCAGACACAGTACAGGGATGACCAGAGACTGCAGACATAGTACAGGGGATGACCAGAGACTGCGGACACGGTACAGGGATGACCAGAGACTGCAGACACAGTACAGGGATGACCAGAGACTGCAGACACAGTACAGGGATGACCAGAGACTGCGGACACAGTACAGGGATGACCAGAGACTGCAGACACAGTACAGGAGATGACCAGAGACTGCAGACACAGTACAGGAGATGACCAGAGACTGCGGACACAGTACAGGAGATGACCAGAGACTGCGGACACAGTACAGGAGATGACCAGAGACTGCGGACACAGTACAGAGATGACCAGAGACTGCGGACACAGTACAGGGATGACCAGAGACTGCGGACACAGTACAGGGATGACCAGAGACTGCGGACAGTACAGGGATGACCAGAGACTGCGGACAGTACAGGAGATGACCAGAGACTGCGGGAAAGCACAGGGATGACCAGAGACTGCGGACAGTACAGATGACTGCTGACCTTTGGGGAGGGAGGGGGAGCGGGTACCTGAATTTGACAGGTACCCGCTCTTACTTCCGCAGAGTTTTTTTTTTTATCTTACCTGTTCCTTTATCCAGCCGCGCGCTGTCTTCCCGGCTTCTGTAGTGTGGGCGCTCGTCGGACAGCCGGATGCCCAGTGCGCATGCGCGAGAAGCGCTGCGCTTTGTGATTGGTCCGGCGGCTTCTGGGATCTGTCATGTGTCCCAGGTACCGCCTTACCATTCACAAAGAGCACTGCTTCTTGCGCATGCGCACTTGGGACCCGGCTGTCACGCACACTACAGAAGCCGGGAAGACAGCGCGCCGCTGGATAGAGGGACAGGTACGGTCCCACTGCAGAGCTGAGCGGCCGGCCCGGTATTCTGACACGGCGGCGGTGGAAATACCGGACCGGCCGCTCTATATTCGCTCCATAAGACGCACTGACATTTTCCCCCCTTTTTTGGGGGAAAAAAAGTGTGTCTTATGGAGCGAAAAATACGGTATTTCTCCTGGCGTGCCCACAGATAAGGCTCGGCGTGCTGGCTGTGGCACGCGTGCCACGGGTTCGCCATCACTGGTCTAGGCAATGTCTGCCTAGACAAGGACAGAAGGTCCTACTCAGTCTCTTCCTTTAAAATACATGTCCTGTCAAATGGTCGAACAACTTGTTCTGCACAACAACCAAATAAATATATCATGAAAGAAAAAGGTGCACAACGGCAGATCATACAAGACAATAAGAAAGCTCTTAATCTCTGGGATGACATCGGAAACACAGTGTTTGAGGTAACCACTAAAGACAATGAGTTGGCAGCTACCATAAAAGACAAAGAATTCTTGAAAACCATGAGTAAAGAGTTCTACCAAGATGATTCCAACAGTTGGGTAGCACCTCTACCATTTTGTACCCCAAGAAAGAGACTATCAAACAACAGGGTACATGCAGAATCACGGTTTGTTTCTTTAAATCGCAGTTTGAACCAGAAGCCTGAGATGAAAAAGCACTTTGTGGACTTTATGCAGAAGGTGTTTGAGAGAGATCATGCTGAGCCTGCACCTCCTCTTATGGAAGGAGAAGAATGTTGGTACCTACCATGCTTTGGTGTCTACCATCCTCGCAAGCTTGATCATATTAGGGTGGTCTTTGACTCAAGTGCTCGTCATGAAGGTGCCTTCCTCAATGACAATCTTCTCACTGGGCCTAATCTGAACAACAATCTCATAGGAGTTTTACTTCGCTTCAGACAAGAGCCAATTGCTGTTATGGCTGACATTCAGCAGATGTTCCACTGTTTCATCGTCCGTGAAGACTACAGAAACTTCCTCAGGTTCTGATGGTACCGCAATAATGATGTCAACGATGAAGTCATAGACTACCGAATGAAGGTACATATTTTCGGTAACAGTCCTTCTCCTGCAGTAGCAATTTATGGACTGAGGAAAACAGCTCAAGAGGGTGAGAAAGAATTTGGATCTGATGCAAGACAGTTCGTCAAAAGGAATTTCTATGTAGTAGACGATGGACTCAAATCTCTGCCCAATGAAGAAGAAGCTATTGACCTTCTTACTAGAACCCAGAACATGCTTGTCACTGCAAACCTCAGACTTCACAAAATCATCTCTAACAGTGACAAGGTCATGATAGCTTTTCCTTCTGATGACCATGCTGTCAGTGTGAAGAAATTCCAACTAGGATCTGACTTTTTTGTTACACAACGCAGTCTTGGATTGCTTTGGAATGTTAAACAAGACACATTTACATTTCAGGCATCAGCCTGTGACAAGCCCTTCACAAAGCGAGGAGTATTGTCTACAGTGAACAGCATTTATGATTTCTTAGGTTTCATTACACCTCTCACCATTCAGGGTAAGATACTGCTGAGACAACTTACTTCTGAAAGCTCAGACTGGGATACCCCCTTACTCAAGGAGAAACAACAAAGATTGGAATCCTGGAAACAGTCTCTAAAAGCATTAGAACAACTCCAAATACCACGCT